CCCCAAAACCCCAAAACCCCTAGAAACTAAATTCAAGAGTAAAATTTACGGCAAAAGCTAAAAATAAATATAAAATATCACTTTGAAAAAATATTTAGGCTTAAGATGTCGAACTCTGAAACTCTAAATAGGTTTGAATGACTCTTAGATGATCAACTAAGTATAAAATGAATTAGTTTTAATTAGACTCATCTTATTCACTCGAATGATCAAATCAAAATCTTGTCTTTATTTTCTATAATACAATTATTTCTTTTCCTCTTAGTTTGTAATGGAGTTAAATTTGGGTTGTTTGGATCTTATGGAGTTTACAGCATTTTCTTAACCTTCTTCTTTTTTCTTTTCTACTTCTTGACTAACTTTGGCAATGATGGATCTGATAAATCTATTTCATTTGATTAAGCTGATTATAAACTAGGTTCCTTGCAACGATATGACTTTATTTCAGTTTATTTTATTTCAAAGATGTATTTTGGCTAGAAAATTGTTGTGCCTCCATTAGCAAGCCCATCTATAAGAAAATTCGGACCTTAAATCATGCTGTTTTTACGTTCAAAGCTATTATTATATAGTTGAAAGTGATTCTAGGTGTCATCAACGTTATCAATTTGACTTTGGACTTCATATCTTGCCATTCGAGAATTAACTCTTGGAAGTTGAAATCCGGGATCCCTTTGTGATTTCGTCTAGGTATTATTATTAAAAGGATTTTTAGCAGTTTATTGAAAATCAAGTAAACCCTTAGCAGTGCTCTCCAGATCTTATTAATTTGAGCCAAAAATTCCACTCTTTACGTTTAAACTATCACCAAACCCAGCTCCCTTCTTTTATTTTTTATTGAAAATAGACGATAAAAAGTTCGTATTCCCATCACCTCATTCAAAAGCAGTGTTTGGATTATTTAGGTTCTGCTGATTTAGATTAAAGTTAAAGGTGTTCTCTATTATAAATAGATGTGAGAATTTTAAGTATCAAAATAAGATTATCAAAGCTTTGATTAAAATAGCACTTACATTAAACACCGATTTCTACTTTGTATCAACAACAAAAGCAGCGCCTAAGGCAATTTGAAATTTTGTGAGATTTCATTGGCTATCCTATTTGATTTTGATTTTATTTCATAGTTCTTAATTTTATAAGTAAGCATGATTAATGCACTTTTTAAATAAATACTATTAAGTTGTTCTCTATCAAATAAAATCACAATAATTTAATTTACTAGATTAATCTCAAACGAGAATTAGAAACTACTTTCTGATTTATAATCAGATACTATAAATTAAAATAACAAAATTATAAATGGAACATTCGTCAAGCCAAGCCTACATAACAAATAAGTCCTAACTTCAAACAGGAGCTCCTCCTAAATGCGCCAAGAAAAGTTCATATAAAGTTGATCTAAAGAATGGATAGACCTATTACTGGTGCACATGTGGATTATCTAAAACTCAGCCATTCTGTGATGGATCTCATGTATAGATGCCTGGATATAAGCCCTTGAAGTTCACTCATGAAGGACCTGATGGAATTAAGGGACTTTGTGGTTGCAAGCTTAATAAAAATGAAAGTGGAGCTTTTTGTGATGGTTCCCATAAAAATGTCCCTGACTGGTGACATGTAATGACTAGATTATAGTACTTAGAAAATCGAGAATTTATATTTATTGTAACCCATTTATTTCATTAAATCAATTCAAAAGACTAATTTTGAATTTAGGGGTTTTGGGGTTTTGGGGTTTTGGGG